ATATATATATATATATATATATATATATATATATATATATATAATTTATATTGCAGGTAGATTGTGAGGACACAATGGTATCGCTAACATTCAAAACCAGAAAACCATTTACTGGACGTGTATATGTACGGGGGCTAGCTGACGATGACCGATGTTCCAGGAATTTTGCATCAAACGTCGATCAGAGCAAATTTTCACTGATGATTCAGAATGGTGATTGTACTATGCAACGACAGCGAGTTACCGGTTCTTTGGAAGTATCTTCTGTGTACTTTTAATAAGCTCGAAATATTTTATGTCGCATTATTTTCGTCTTGTCCAACAGACCATGGAGGCGCAGTTATTCAAGTTTATTTAGTATAAAATTGTGACATTCCACAAAGCATTTTGGAAAGTTTCAAGGCAACCAATTTCAGGGCATTATGTTCTCCCTTACAATCGTAGTATCGTTTCATGGGACATTTGTCACGCGAGCTGATCGTGCCTATCGTTGCATGTGTTTTTTCCGAAATATCAAACGGCTAACATCCGGTGTAGATATGTCTTCAATTGGCACCACTGAATTGATGGATACGGTACAAATGCCTACTTGCACATACAGTATTCATTCTGGAAGCGCAGATGGACCACCAGCTGTGTAAAACTTTTTCGAAATTCTCAAATTTATATTTTGAAATTCGAAATTACCTCATACCAACCACTGTCATGCAGTTTTCTTGCTTCATAGTGTCCCTCTAATTGTTGTCCTGTCCCAGTTTACCAATCGGATTTGTAAATTGTGTTGTTTTGCGCATTGTTTGTTATCGAGCGAGCAGTTTAAGCAAAAAATCCCAAAACACCATTCTAATTTAGGAATAAATGGTTATTTTAAATTTCAATTTGATTTGTTATCTTATATTTTAAATTTAGTTTTCTTCGAAATTTTCGAAAACAACAAACTTTAAATAAGTTTAATATTATAGTTCATAAATTATAGTTATGGCCAAGTCGGTGAGAAAATTTACCACGTTTGGGAATGTGACGATGACACACAAGGCTTTTTGGTACATTCATGCTTTGTTAACGATGGACGAGGAACACGTTTTGACTTGGTATCTGACTTTTGTTATCTGTAAAAATTAATCAATATTTGATTGAATTAGCAGAAAGTTAATAATAAATTGAAATATATTTTAGCTTGATTTGGATGGATGCGCTATTGATCCTATCATTCAACCTGATGTGCAATATGACGAAGACTTGAGAAGAGTAAGTTCAAAAAAAAGAAAGAAACAAAGATAATTTGATTTATCTTGAATCTTTTGAAGGCAAAGGTTTAGCAGTTCAATAGAAAATTGTTTAACATTAAGAGTAAGACGTAATAAAATTTGGGTATTACAAGAATTGAATAAAACTATTTCAACTTTATTTCATTATGAAAAAAATATATATGTTAATAGATTTAGTTTACAAGCTTTCTCATTTCTGAATACTTTCCCACAGTTAGATCGATTGTCAGTTGGATCGATTGAAAGGCCTAATCCATCATAACACCGGTTTCGAACCAAATTTATTTTTCTCCCTTAAGCCATGAAGCAGTTAAAATTGCTTCAGATTTGTTTGGGAAAAAACTCATGTCCTATTTTGGCAATAATATCTTATAAATAAATTTTCAAGAAGTTAAATTTCCATTATTATTTCTAGTAATCAATTACTCAAACTCTTATATAATCTGGACATTAACTGAATTTTACAGGCAGTGGTTGAAACGTGGGGTTATAAGTTCAGTGATACTTCGGTTTTAAATTATCAGTGTGTCGTGGAGTTGTGCAAGAAAAGTGCTGGTGAATGTGAAGGTCTCATTCCACCGACATGCACCAGTAGTAACCGAATTCGGCGCAGTGTAGCCAACAACGATTCTAGGTTTGGTATTTAAAATTTCGAATGATAAAACCATAATCAGTGCAGAAGTGATTTTAAAATATATTCTAAAATTTCAATATTTTAGTGTCATATTAGAAAGAAATACGCATCAGACATCAAATTTACGTCACATTCACCAAATGGATTTGGTTGCTACACTCAGCATGCTCGATAATATTGAGGAAAATGGATTATCTGACCCTCGATCGCGTTATTTAAAACAAGAAATCACTCAGGTATACTTTTTTAGCATTAATTTTTACATTTGAAATTAAATGACTTACAGCATTGTAATGATTTAAAGGTATTTCCCGGAAATTTTAGTATTAGACGCAAGTTCTATATACAGAGCAGTCCATTTGGCTATTCTTTTGATATACAGATTTTAACGAAACTTTTCAAGAAATGTGATTCTTATCGACTAAGAATATAATTAAAATGAAAGTATTTATTGGACTTCAACAAATTAACGTCAATTCAAATTTATGTAATAAAGGAATCACAAATCAAATATTTAAATTTCAGTCCAATTATGGGTCAAAAAATGGAATGGCAATAGCATTGGTAGCATTACAGAGAGTATGTCTAACTTATCCAGTTTTTGGTTCATTGCTTGTCGCTATTTCACTTCTATTTACCGCTTTATCAACCACTGTGGTTTTCGTGTACAGGAGAAATAGGTAAGAACTTTCCAAAATCCTACAATTAAAAATTTATACGTGGAAATATCCAGCTTCCGTTAGTACCATATTTCGTTGGAACTGCTCATAAGTTAGTGTATAAGAGAGTTCTGATATTCGATTTAAATCCTTCAGGAGAGAAGTTCTTTTATTTCTATTTTACGATTGAAACTTAACTTCACAATCAGTCTTTTAAATCCATGCACAAGTTGTGAAGCACAAATTCACAGAAAATAAATAATATGCTAATATGCTTGAATGCAATAAGGTGACATTTTTTTCTCTTTCCTTTTTTGGATTGATAAATGCTAATCGATAGTAAAATCGATAATTATGAAATTTTTTTCCAGGAAAGCGTGAGGAGAGGGAAAATATTGCCACTTTCAGCGATAAACTTCATTGAAATTTCGGCTAATAATGACCACTACTTGTGATATTGGCAAATTTTATCATCGTAATAATAAGGATTCAGGTGATAATGTTAAATATGGCCGTCACAAGCTGATCTAATAAATGTATAAGGAACCAGAATAATTTTCGAATAAATAATTTTCAAATAATATATCATAATGTCACGATGTGTCTTAAGAGATAATGTTCAATGACTGAGAAAGGTGAAAACTAAATATTCAGGTGATAATGTCAAACTAAATTAACTAAAATTAATTACTTAGCCAATAAACTAACTTTCGACCGACAATTGATCAAGAGTACCTTCTGTAAGCTTACTTTTGTTGGAATGAAAAAAGAAATTATTTGATAATCAATATAGAAATAGTTGTACCTACATCAACGTGATAAGTGCGCTTATTATTGCATTCAATGTGAAAAAGTTGCACTGTAACAAATAATTTGTTATTTAAACGTTTAAGGCTGAACACCATCCAACATTTTGAATATCGGCTCTCATGTTGCAGCAATAGAAATATCAGAATTCTAGTAGAATTAATCTCGAAATGCAAATTATAACTATATTCAAAATGTAATAAGTACATTAAAAAGGCTTTGTCATTTTAACAAAATAGAAGAACTTGTTAATCGGTGTTGATTTCATTGTTTCGGGAGTTCGTCGTGTGCGGGAATTATCGAATGTCCGTTTCGCCATGCCCAGTAATGCATCACGCGCTCCGGCCCATGCGTGTGGTCCCTACAAAAACACCAACAAACTATTTTCAGTCCACAAAAAACAAACTGAGCAAACTGGAAAACGAAGCAAAAAGAGTAAAAAAAAAATGCTCAGAAGACACTTTCAGATGACATCTTCCAATGATGGCCGATTATGGCCGCCATTACACTGGAACCATTCTACCAAATGAGCCAAAAGTTTTTTTTGGCCAAATATGGTAGTGCTCGATCAATGATAGTGCTGCCAAAGCAGAGAATATTGCAAAGCGTAAACTACAGTATCCCACCGACTCCAGAAAAATAATTAGGGTAGAAATGTAAAAATAATTTTTACGAATTATACTGAAAGTACGAATTTTTTTCATAACACAAAACTGATCATAAATATCAATATTGACAAAAACACACTTAATTAATTAAAGTTTTTTAATTTTCGTAAATTTTATTAAAATTAAGACTGACTGACATTTAATCTAAATTGATACGGTGCCAAGCCTTCAAACAATAGAGTGTATGCCAAACGAGGATCACTGAACCAGTACTTGAGCAAATTCGGTTTTGCACCAATCATCTTCGCTAGTTCATCCATATAGATTACATAATCCACCTCAAATTTGCTCAACTGTGCGAAAATTATTTTATTTTATTTTGTTTTGCTTTCTTCTTTACATAATCAGAGATAAATTACTTTTTAAAGAAACAAAAAGGAAAAAATTAATACTATCCACTTATGTGATTAGATTATGATAAACCTCCAAAGTATGTCGCCGATTTTTCAGAAATCTTTTCTCCATTACCGCTCTTCTTTTTTCAATATCTTTTTTCATTTTTTGAATTTTGGGTAGCTTGCAATGGCCAGCTAGTACTTCACAGTAAAATCGAGATTGCATTTCAGAAATAGGCATTATAGAACCAACCGGTTGGATAAGACCTATTACAGCTAGATTATTCTGCAAATGTAAATAGTTGTGCTTCAAGAAAATCATGGGAAGTGCAAGGATACAATAAAAATATTACAAGACATGAAACGAGAAAAAGAATCGATATTGAAAAGTCAAATTTTCAAACTGAAAGCAAACCCTTGGCGATAATTGTGGTGGATACATATGTAGATACAGATCGACCTCATTATCGGTAACAGGTATAAGATTACCATCTTCAACAATTGGAAATTGAAATGAATAACCTGTACCAAAGATTACTGTATCAACATTACACACAGTTGTACCATCCTCAAATATCACATCGTGTTCGGTAAAACGAGCAACGTTCGGTTTAATCTAAAATATTGCCATTCTAAGCATAATTACATCCTCTTCTACTCTTCACGCAATTACTGTCTATTTATTTAGTCAATGATAATTGAGGAATATAGCCGGAATATGACATGCATATACGGTATATCTGACATATCATACATAGATTCCAAGAAAGTTCACGTGATTTTCATCGGCCAAATGCTCCGTTGACTCAATAATTATCCAGATTTTTTGTGATTAATTTTATTACTTTTGGTTTACCTAGTAATTAATTGGATTTACTTTACTTACAATAATAGACCCACAAACGATACGACCCGGCAGGTCATCGTTGATAGTAGCATGCTGTGCAAGAGCGTGATGTTTCGGTTTTAAACCATACCGTCCATGATCAAAGTTTTGTTCAAGTCTGCTTTCATATGTTTTATTAATCAACTGCAATTTACGTTTCATTTTAAGTATTGACATTCATAGGTAAAGTTAAATCTAACCAAAAAAAAGTTAAGAGGAGAGAAAACTTGAGGATCATCGAATATTGCTATACATAAAAATATTTCATCAGTTGTTGCATCATTTAAATCCATTTTTTTGTCTGATTATTGTTTATTATATGTATGATATAATTTCATTTATAGTTTTCTTTGAGGTTGAATGTTTTATTATTATGCAATAGCAATTCTTTTTGCGAACGTTATACAATGATAGCTGAACCTAAGAAAAGTCAATGTTTAGGAATCCTACTTTATCAACACCTATTATCCTGCAATATTTTCCAATCTCATGGATTGTTAAGTAATATTCTTAATTATCATCCATCCCAAATTGATTTTTAACTTACATGTCCATTTTAAAGGGCTGTTAAGTCCCGGCAGTTCCGAAGGAAATCCACCCAATAATAAAATTTTCATTTTAGTTTGCATCAAACAAGTAGCGTCAAACAAAAGTGGATAAATTCATCTGCTCAAATCTGTAGTAATTAATAAATGAATGGCAGAACTTACCCAAGATGGTGCCAGTTTTCTTATTGCATGCATATAACGATTGACAAAAACAAAATCAATTGGTTCACCCTTATCCCAAATTCTTTTAAGCACCCAAGTGCCAGTACGGGTTGATATGTAAACCTGGAATAAAGCTAAGTTATCATTAACAGCTGCTTAAGCTACCACTAATATTGATGGACAGAAATAATGCAGAAAGGCGATGAATCACCTTAATAGATGAATTACCTTAATATTTTTTAAATTTTAATAAGAAAAAAGCGTACCTCCTTGGCGATTCTACTCAAATCGACTGCAATATCACCAGAAGAATTGCCAATTCCAATCACTACTACAGTTTTGTCAATATACGAGAACGGTTCGCGATAATCATGGCTATGAATAATTTCACCACGGAATTTACCCTGCCCGGGGAACGGTTCTGGCCAATATGGTATTGTATGGTGGCCACAGCAGAGCAGTATTCCATCAAATTTTTCAGTTTGTATTGTACCATCACTATAAAAACTAGAACCTCTAAAAAAAATTAAATTCTAAACAAAATTGAAAAGAAAATTTAATTTCTATACAAAATATAGTCTTCCTACCCTTTGGTTGCATAATTTTTTATCTTTCTGAAGTCCACTGTTACGCAATATCGTAAATGAAGCGATAAATAGTTATCATTCACGTTATCATTTACGTAAAAAAGGATATTGTCTTCTCTTTATAGTCTTACGTAAAACATATTATATGACCTCATAAATTAGTTGAGTGATCAAAGCAAAAGGCCGAATAACTATGACTATACAATATTTCTCAGCATTGGATATAAACAAAAAGTTACAGAAAGGTCCCCAGAGCAAGATATCAAAGGACTTAAGAAATGAATCTGCACTATCTGAAATGAAAGACATGCCGAAATAAATATAAATAAGTTCCTTTGCTTCATTCCAAGGAATAAAACCTTGTATTACATGAAGCTTGAAGGATTCAGCAAAGAGATGTCTCAAGGAAAGCTACAGTAATGTGAATGAAAATATTGAAACATATAGATGGCAGGTAAGACAGACGATGTAAGAGAAGAATAAGAAAATGGCTAAGGAAAAGTCAGATAAAGTGTTGAAGTGAGGAAAGTTTGACAAGGTCAAATACATAAGAAAGAGAGGAGATGAAGCAAGTAAGGGAATCTGATGAATGTGGATTCAATAGGGACAAGTCGGTAACTGATTCATATCAGTACAAAAATAAGTAAGAAAAGGATCGTTCATGTTTGGAAGTGATGCTGAGAAACATATCACAAATGGAGGCCAGCTGATAACAACTGCATGTATCTGCATGTAACACTGCATGTATCTGCATGTAACACTGCATGTATCTGCATGTAACAACTGCATGATCTGCATGT